AGTTGTTTAATGAACGGAAGGTCTCAGTTGGGATTGTTGGTGCAGGGTTCACTCACTTAGGCAGTTGTTCGGATAATTCTACCATAACTGCCTTAATGTATCCCAAGGATTTAGAGAAGATAACAAGGCCATAGATACTCAGTGTGAAAAGATCAACAATCTTTCATTCGTCGGGATGATCTTCATTAATTGCTTGATGTGAGTCCAAGTAATTCATTCTCCTTTTCCTTGTGTTGAATTCAATCAATTACCCACTTTTCATCAACCCCAACAACCTTTGCCAACCCATTCTTAAAAGGCTAACTTTGATGTATTTGATGAAGACCTAGTCCATTCTGATTCCCTCACAATGTAACAGGGTAGTTTACTCTACAATTGTGGGCACCATGTCTTCTTGGTTGAATGTAAAGCAGTTGATCCCGAATTCCAAAATGCACTAAGTCTCGAATCAGAGGTTCGTCTATCTTGAAATAGAGCAGGTATTCAATATCACCATATCGCTTGCAAAACCTTTTTTTCCTATAATTTTTTCCACTATCCCAAATGTTCTGCAACTGCTAGGTATCATTGTGTTGGGCTGATGGAAGCGTAGCCAGCCAGGTCTGACATCTAGTTATCTTGCAGATTGTCCCATTTTCCTTCTGAGTCTTTTCTGACTATAGCCATACTTTGCATTTTTTACCTCTTGCATTATGACCCTTTCTCCATTAATGCAAACTATTTGAGGAACAACACCTTTTAAAAGATGTAAAATGATAAAACAAAGGAAAATAAAACAAAATGAAAGGAAACAAGTTAGTAAATAGGAATAATAATCAAAATGATAATGAAAATAAGAAATTGCTACCCCAGATATTTACCCCATACTTTTTATTCATACCCAAAACAATTTCTATCCCGATGTTATTTCCTTGAACAAATCCTAAACAGCATATATTTCTAATTGCATGCTTTGAACATTAAAAATAAGCAGGAAGTAAATCAAACAACCTAGGTTTTGAAATGAACTTTTGGGTGGTATCTAATTCTTTACATCATCCGGTTTGGTTCTAAAAGAGGTACTAGGGTTCTCAATTCCCGATGCCCCTTAGGCTTGCCAGACCCTCAGTCTAAACCCATCACAGGCTCTTGTGGACCGAGTTAACTCGAGAGGATACATTCCCTTATGTCGTATGGAGAATAAATTCACACGAAGAGATAAGGTATATGATCCCGAAGGTTACTTGCTAGGCCTATACGGAGAATAAAATCCCACGAATGCATTGCTTTCGCCCCCACTTAAAAAAATGGTTTGGAGCTAGGGAATATAGCCTGAGATGAATGATTTTTTTTAAAAAAAGTTGAAATCATTAGAAAACTATCAGTCCACTATTTATTTGAAAAATAATAATCAAAGGTAAATAACAAGGATCAAAAGGATAATTATAACCTAAACTTACAACTTCTCTTAGGAAGATAACCGAGAATCATTTTTGGCCTGACTCTCTTTCCTGTCCCCAGCAGAGTCGCCAAACTGTAGTAACTGTCATTCGGGTGGTCCCAGAATTAGGTTTTGACTTGAATTAATGTGATGGAGCTGCCATCGATCATTTTGAATTAGGTTGATCGAATACCTTAACTTGTTGTTTATTTGATCTACGATTTACCAGAAATTAATTGGATTCTGGAGTCGATTACAGTCAAGGAATGATTAACACCCTTGCAATGCCCTTTCGGTGCCAATTTGATTTCTCAATCATCTTAGTTGCAAAAATTGAAGTTTAAATTAAAATTTACAAATTTCAATCTAAATTACTCACCTTTGACAAATTTAAATTGCCTAAATAGTAAGAATAATGTTAAACAATTTAAATAAACAAAATAAAAGATCATGATATTAAATTTAAAGAAAAAACACAAATATAAAAGAGGATTAAATTGAAAATAATTTAAAATTAGGGGTCAAATTGATGCTAAATGAAAGCTGCAAAAAATAAAAATGTTAGGGGACCAAATTACTAAATATAGAAAATATAAATGGGCATTAAATTAAATAAATTCAAAATTCGAGGGTAAAATTACAACAGGTGACCAAAATGAATTACGCATCAAAATCGCAGGGACTGCAAAAATTATTAACTATTTGGTAATTACACAAAGGCCCTACCTATAAATAGCCCCTAAAACACAAAATCATTCATTTCACTCATATCTTAAAATCAAACATTTTCCCCCTTTTCAAAACTCTCCTAATTCTCTCCCCCACTTAGCTGGCCACCTGCCGGTGCCTAAAGCCACCGTCGACCGCTGCTCTAGCCACCATCACCGGTGGCCAGAAACTCAAACTTACCCAGAAAAATTTCTCCCGATGTCCCACCCCAAAACCGACCCTTAAACATCCAAACAATGACCATATCGAAGTAGATCTAAGCCAAAAGTTTCGATAGTTTACCTTTTTCGATGAACCCTTTTCAACTTCTGGTGGTCGTTTCCCTCACGAGCCGAGACCAACGCTGTTTTTTATGTTTTTTTCTTGCGAAAATGCTTTGATTGGCTTTGTTTTGGTGTTTCGATGCTTTTTTGTATGGTGTTGCTTAGCTTCACTTGGCCCTTTTATAGCACCCGAAAACCTTGAATCAGTTTGTTGTGATCCCGATTTCGTCAGGATTTTAGATGTGGCCAACTCTCTCGGCATGTTGTTGCTGAAAATAGGGGGAGTTTTCCTCTTTGATTTCGCCCTGAAGTCGCGATTTGCTCTCCAATTTTGTTGTTTGGTGAACTAGCTGGCGCATGGCTTCCACGCGTCGTTGGATAGTGACCGCTGATGCGTTTTCAGTCATTGGATCAAAGGGCCAGATCCAACGACCCAGGTTGATGCGGTGCCCTTACTAAATGTTGGAACCCTAATCTACTGGGTCAGGCTATTGGGCTTCTTTTTGGGCTCGACAGCTTACTCCTTGGTTAGGTAAGCTTGTTGTTGGCTTCCTCGACTTGGATATGAACTGTCGGACCAGACTTAAATTTGGACCTACAAATAACAATTATTAATAAAATAAAAATAATGTAATATAATAACTATAATATGTAATATAATATAATAATAATATAATATATACTATATATTATATATTATATAATACTATATAAAATATAATATGATACTACATAATATACTATGATATATAAAAATGCTATAATATAATAAATATAATAGATATAATAATATATATATATATAACATACTATATATAGAACATACTATAATATAATACTAAATATACTATATATTATATATATATAATAATATATACTATAATATGTAATACACTATAATAAAAATAAAAAGGTCTAGGCCTGTAAACGAACCGAACGTACACGAATGGAGTATGTTCATGTTCGTTCATTTAATAAATAACGAACAAACGAACGAACATAAACAAAAAAGTTTTGTTTCATGTTCGTTCATTAAGGAATATAGTTTGTTCATGTTCATTCATTTAAATGATAAACAAACGTAAACGAACACAAACGAACAACATAAACGAACATAAACGAACAACACAAACACAAAAAACAAACTTATTCGAACACAACAATGAATGTAAAAAAGTAAACAACAAGAATAACAACTTAAAATTCATTAATATAACCTATAACTTTAGACTTAATTTGTTCGAATACGACAAAACATACATAAATCATAAATAAGCTATATGAACATAATAAAGTCTTAAAGTTAATTTGTTCAACAAAACAATTTTCTTGAAATCCAAACAACTTTAATAATCTTCGTAACATATTCAATTTGTCATTTGTTCGAACATAAATGAACATAAATGAACGAACATAAACAAACTATAATCGAACGTTCACGAACGTAAATGAATGAGCCCTTTGTTCGTATTCATTCATTTAATTAAATGAACACAAAATCTTGTACATGTTAATTCATTTAATAAATAAACGAACTTCCCGCCGCACGATTCATGAACGGTTCACTGAACGTTCAGTTCATTTACATGTCTAAAAAGGTCCTAAACAAAAATAAGTACTAGAAAAAGGGGCTTTTAGGATTTCTATGAGATAAGAAGCCTAACAAGATGGCATAGATTGCATGGGGGTTCTTTTATTGAAGTTATTGCAATGATTTACACTTCATGCATAGTTTTTGGAGCTAATTAAATATTTTAGTGATTGGGACGATCATGAAATGCGTTTGAAATTAAATTGATAGTTAAATAAGTGTATATGAATCTATTAAATTATTTAGATTTATGATTAAATTCACAAAAATATATAACTATTAATGACTAAATGTATTATTATAGTAACTAAAAAAAGTCACGTCGTCAATTCTATTAATGATTTAATGGAGGTTGATAAAATAGAACCGATCGAAGATTATAGTGATGAAATTGAAAAAAATAAAATTCAATGACCATAACAAAAATAGGCTAATAATTGACTAATAGTGTAGTTTACTCTAAAGTATAATAATGATTTGACTCTTACATTTATCTGGCAAGGAGATCTTCAGTGTGTTTTTCAAACTTTCCCTTGGGAGTGAGCATTCAGTTTTTTCGGCTGCCCCCTCGCAATAAATCTGAGGTGAATACCACATACGTGATGCTCAAACCTCAAAGGATATGAACAAATCTCTTAACCAATAAGATCACTTGGTCTGTTTTATTTAATTATATATATATAGGGATAAAATCTTGTTACATAATGTAAAACTCTTAGTTTTATATAGATTTAGAACACTTTGATGAGTGACAATAGATGACTGAGATTAACAATAATAAATAAAAATATATTCACTAGGAAAAAAAGAGTCGGTCAATCCTCACCATCTGTTTTTACTTATTCATCGATCCTAAATCTATGCAAAACTAAAGATTTTTATATTGTGTAAGTGGATCTCAACCCCTATATATATATATAAAGATTTTATCCATGCACAAAAACAACTCCATACGTAAACCCAAATCATATATGACATGTATATCTCAGCAATAAAATAAGGTATGCAAACTACAACTTATTTCATTTATCTCGTGTACTTTTATGGACAGACCCGCCCATTTAAAACCAAGATTTTGGATGCTAACAATAACGGAAGAACAAAATGGCATCATCTTCAATCCTGTTATAAGAGTCTTACAATAATAACAATGTAGGGGAAAATTTATTCAATCCCACACTCCTTCCTTTGCTGGCCAAAGTCAATTACCTGCAACACTGAAGCATATGTTAATTCTATTTGAACAAGTTCTTGAATTGTAGCACAAATGTATGTTTTACACCTTCCACTGAGATTTGATTAAATAATCTTGAAGTCTTTTGATCAGAAATGCACACTTTGGTGGTCATACCACATAAAATAGGTCAAGAACACCGAAAAGACCATGATAATCGGAAATGTAAAAGATGAGGGGGTGGGGGGAATACTCATTCATGATGATACTAAAGGTATCAAAAAGTAGTTACATCACTGCCACATGAAGCTAACATGAAATACTGTTCCTTGTATTCAGTTGCACCAAAAATCTATGTTTATGTCACATTGTAGGATATCATATACAACCAGAATGTTAATATCAACTCTTATTCAGATATCCCACCCCATCCTTGTTTTATCACATTATAGAACTGCAAGGTACCAAAAAGATTCAACTAAAGAAAAAGATAGACAAACCATAAAGCAAATGGACTAGTTTAAACCTAATATATAACTGTGATGCAAAACAATCTTTCACATGCTCTCACTAAGAGTATCTATCAATCACGCTTTCAAGGTATACAGCATATCAATGACTGTCCTCTGATTGCAATCCATTGATGTGCTAAACTATTCAAGACATCAGTGAACATTTTCTTTTTGGAATGCAAGTTGTCATCAGTATGTACAATAAAAGTTGAAACTACTCAGATAATTAACTTCGAAATTTTGATTCAATGACATGCTCAGGAATTAGCTCAATCGAGCTTGATATATTATCTGCTTGGATTGCACAGGGGTTTATGGAAAAGATGAGAGAGAACGGTCAGGAGAGAGAGAGTGGTCGAGTGAGAGAAAAAACAGTTCAGGTAAGTCACCACCGGTGAGGAATGGACAGCGTTTGTGGATAACTTGAGTAAGAGGGTATCTAGGAGAACAGTTAGAGAACTTTTCCAACATCAGGGAAAAGTAGTGAGGGTTTACATTCCGAGAATTTCAAAAAATCCTAGTATAGGAATCAAACGTTCGCTTTCGTTCAATTTGAGGAGGAAGGCTTAAAGAAGGCGATTGAAAACATCAATGGAGTGTGGATAGATGGGAGGAGAGTCACTGTAGGGCTGCAAAATACCAAAGCTATAGGCATAGAATTGCTGTTACCAGCAATCCCAAGACAGGAAAGTAGAGTCAAACAGGGGAGAAAATAGGAGGGAAAGAGTGGGAGATTATTCTTTGAGCAGCTTGAGAGATGGAAGATCATACAAGGATGCTTTGGTCTTGAATGGTAGGGTTGAAACGGTGTTAAAGGATCAAAGGGAAGGTTGTTCTCGGAGGGCTCCTGGGATGAGAAATGTATGGGAGATGCACATCCCTGCTGATGAATCAGAGTGGGTTAGAAGATCTTTAACAGGAATCATCAAACCTTTATTCGATTTAGGGCTGGTTCAGAAGGGATTGGCTAGTGATGGGATTAAGGTAAAAATTGCCAGCTGGGTTACGCTTGGAAATCTTGCCTGGTGACTTTCGGTTCGATTGAAGAGCTTAATGAGGTGTGGCCGAATAAGAAAGAGGAATTACTTTTCTGGTTTGATTGGCTTGAACCTCTCTTTAGTGAAGATGGAGTTCCATTGGCCTTTTGCTCGGTGGAACTTGATGGTGTCCCTATGTTGTGTTGGAATGCTCCGTTTTTGGAGAAGCTTGCTTAGAGGTGGGGAAAGATGATGTGTATACATGACTCTACGGTGAAAAGAGAAGATATGGCGGTGGCAAGGTTGCTGTTGAGGGTGGCGAGCCCTTTGAAGTTCCAGAAGTGATCACAATAGGAACTTATGGGAGATCATATAAGGTAAAATAAAGATAGGGTCTGTTTTTGAAAAATCATATGCAGCTTCAGATTTGTATTCAGAGATGGCATTGGAGGATAGATCCGGTGAAGGTGGAGCGTCGGAGGAGGAGGAAGATCGGGCAGCAGACAGGTTTGGTTGGGCAGCAGAAAATTTTGACAAAAGTGATCAGTCTGACAAAGGAACTCGGTACAGGGTTGACAAATGGATGGATGGTACTGCAGTGGTAGACTTTGATGGCGGCTATGGAGGGATAAAGTCAAGGCAACAGGATACTGCTGGGGAACATATTAAAGGGAGTCTGTCAGAGATTCTGGTTTCTGGGAGAAAATCTACAGAAAACTTTGAGGGGTTAGGTAGTAGGAATTTTTTCAACTGGAACATGAACAAGCCCATACCGAAAGTGATGGTGAGCCCATGTCTCCCCTTTCGAGACCCTATCCATCTGGGCCAGCTTTTAGTTTAAAGATTATGGCATTTGGAAAAAACAAAGAGAGTTATGAAAATCAAAGAAACATTCATGAAGAAAAACACAATATTAATATGCCTATGTCTGGCAGTAAAGAGGAAGAAGACAAGGGAGATAATCCAAACTCCTGTTCGACTGATCGTGCTAAAATAAAGGATCAAGAAGCTGAATTGATGTTGATAAAGCATGATACAGTATTTACAGAAAGAAATTTAAGGGGCAGATCGCTTTATCAGTCTAAAAGTTCGCTATCTTCGAAGAGTGAACTGTTGGAAAAGAGAAGATTGTGCAGTTATAAAAAGGTTTACAAAAGATCTAGGGAAAGAAAATTTTGGTTTGGGAATAACCAGAACTTTATATCTGAAACAGGAGTCTTTGGCAGTCGAAAGGAAAATAATCTGGCCTTAAGTTCAGTGCAAACACTTAATTCGCAGCAGATTTGAACAATCAATGCTGTGTGGAACCTACTATTGAGAGACTTTCTATTGACAAGGAACTTGGATAATGAGATTGAAGGATGGGTTACTGAAGGAGATTGTTATGGTTTTAAATCCAAATCGTTAAACAAAAGAGCCCGAAGACTACTGTTAAGGGAGACGCTTTAGAAAAAAATAATATCACAACAGTGTCATCTTAAGCCTTTTCGGATATCTTGGAGGAAGCCTTAGCTATTTGGGAAATTAGTAAGCTACTGGGGGTATCTTTTAAGCAGGGGAAGACAGCCTTTTTGGAAAACAATTATCAACTTGGAGAGAGACATGAATTTGACCAATTAAGGAGTTTTTATTATGGGGTAATCGGATTACTGATTATTTTATTATGAAGACAGTTCACAATTGTTTCATGGAATGTTAGGGGTTTGGGAAGAAAGGAAAAACAAAGGGTTGTTCAAAGATTGGTGGTTAAGAACTCTCCTTCATTTCTTTGGCTGCAGGAAACCAAATCTGTGAAGATAAAGAGGTCTTTTCTTAGGAGTGGGCTGAATAATCTACAAGGGTTTATAAAATCATCAGCGGTTGGTTCATCAGGAGGTTTAGTGTAATACCCCAAATTTTGGTTAGTGACCAAAATGTAACTTTTGAAAGCTTGATAGTTAAAGTATAAAACTTGGAAGAAATTTTAGGAAATTAAGTGGTAAAGTTCTTGAAAAGAATTTTATTTCCTAAAAAGATAGTTTACTATTGAGAGTGGGGTTGTATGGAATTATATTTTGAAGTTGGAATTTGGTAAAGAAAAATTAGAAATGGTTAAAACCGGTAAGGAATCTGTAGTTTCAGATTTAATTGAAATCTTACAAAAATTTGAAGGCTGTTATAAAATAGTTGGGAATGTTATTTTAATATTTTGGATCAGATAAATTTGGTCTGAAAATATGGAAATTTTCAGATTTAATCGAAACAGTGGAATTTAGTGACTAAAATGCAAGTTTTGAAAGTTAATGGGAAAATTCGGAAATTTAAAGTCAAAATATTCATCTTTGACTTTGAATTATGATAAGGATGAGTTGTCATAGTTTTATGGTAAATAAGAAGATTCATTAAGGGTAAATTGGTCTTATCCCAATTAAGTGAATATCATATTCATTTAAGTGGAATTATAATGTAAAATATTATGATATGCACCCAACATATCATTTCAATTGTTCATCTTCTTCTCCCAAAATCAGCCGTGGGTTTCTCCAAAGGTAAGAGAAAATTCCAACTCCATTTTCAAGCAATTTGATTCAATATTTTGTGTAAGTTGTAAATAGAAAATGGTTGTATGAGAAAAACTCTATCTTTTGGTACCAATATGGCATGGTAATCTTGTTGGTGTTCAAAGATCCTAAATTTAAGGGTTTGTGTTCATAAAAAGGGATCATGAAATTGATGATGGATTTTGATGTTTGTGAGGTAGTAGATTCATATTCAAGCATGTGTGATGATTAGAACATGTTTGATCTTTTGAGAATTTGTTCTATGAGTTTTGATCATGAATTTGTTTGAGTGAGAAAAATTATGGAAAAATTATATATGAGTTGGAAATGATGAAGGAAGTATTATACAAGCCTTAGAAAAATTGGGGATCATTTCGTAAGTTTTGAAAAGTTGGAGATCAATTTGTAAATTCCAAAAAAAATTGAGGGATTGTTGTGTAAGTGTTATATAATTGATGAGCTATACTGGAATTTTTGGTATTAATGATTTAGGTGATAAAATGGTGAAGGACCATTTTGAGTAAATTGGAAAAGTTGGTTCCAATATTAAAAAGAATTAATAAATGTTAAAGTATTTTGTGGTGAATAGTTTGAAGCATGATTGTGGAATATATTTTGGATATACATTTATGTTAGTACAATACTAACATATATAAGTATGAATCTATATGTTGTACAGATTATGATTTACTCAGTGTTCAAAACGATTCAAGTATAAAAGAAAAGGGTTATTATGGACAATAGTGAGGCTTATTTTGGAAAATTATAAAGTGTCAAGGTGAGTGCAATACATGCATGAAATTATACAGATGTTTTATACATCATCAAGAAGACTTGCGATAAGTCGACCTTGTTTTATCAACATGCTATTATATCATATTTTTATAAATTGATATGACATTGATATGTCATAGTATGAAATTATAATGCTTTGATTTTTGAAAATGTGATATTTTACCATGAATGTTATTTCGGGTATGAACTGCCCAATATTAAATTATGATAATATACTTTGCCATGATGGATCGAATAAAATAGACTATATGCCCAAGTAAGTCATTGAGGGACAGGGTATAGTTGGCATGCCATAGAGTATAGCAGCTGCAGGTTTATAATACATTACGGTGTATATGGTGGGCACGACCTTATGTGTAATACACTTCGGTGTATATGGTGGGCACGACCTTATGTGTAGCACTACGGTGCAAATATTACTCGAATACCCAGGGTCCTCAGGGTTGTATATTGAGCTATTGTCTATGGTTTTATAGATTATAAGTTAATAAATGGTGAGCATAAAATTTAGCTTACGAGCTTAAGGAAATAATGGCAAGTATATTGGTAAGGAATTTTATACTCAATTACAGTATTTTGATCTTGGTAAAATATTGGGTATGCTGATAATACGATTTTAAGGTATTTGGTTTTTATAATGAAATTATGCATGAATTGTATTGCACTATTTATTGTTTTAATTGCCTCACTAAGTATATACTTAGCGTGTGATGATTTTTACGCGTAGGTAAAAAGCCAGTAGAAGAATAGAGAGTTCAAGGCAATATCAAACATTAAGAAGTATATTTCTTTATCAGTAAGACATCCTAAAATGTAATGTAGATTTAATTAGTGGCATGTAATTATTATGTAATTATTATGTTTTATTTGCTTTGCTGAACAAAATTGGAAACAAGAAAATGGAATTCTATGACATGGTATTTTTATAATATTATTTACTATTTTAAGAAAATAAATTTTAAATCGCTTTTGAATCGTATAATGGTTTTTAGAAATTCGGATAACATCTATAATTTGTATAGGTATAATTATACGGGTTATGGGTGTTACATTTACTGTGTTGTTGGGATGACAACACGTTCGAGTTGGAAAATCAGTACATTAGTCGAAGATTTATTGCTATTTCAGTGAAATTCCAATCTAATCAATTTAGATGTGGCTTCATTAACGTTTATGGACCTTCAGTGGAGGATGAGAAAGTTTTTTTGAAGAATTATGCACATTTCTGAATGGACAGAATCTTCCTTTATGTGTGGGAGGGGACTTTAATGTTTACTTATCAGAAGAAGAGAAGGTAGGAAGAGCACAAAACAGATATTCTATGGGGATCTTCAGTCATTTTATTCAACAAACAGGGTTAATTGATCTAGCTTAGAATGGGGGTAGGTTCACATGGTGCAATAATCAAGGTATCCCCAGTTTTGTAAGACTGGAAAGGTTTTTTGTTGATGCAAACTTCTTGGTTGCTTTTCTTGAAATCGCTCAATCCTTACTTCCCAGGTCAATGTCAGATCATAATGCTATAATTCTTCACACTGGGGGAGTAAATTGGGGTAAAAAAACCTTTTAGACTCCTCAATTATTTGATGGATGAGGATGGCTTTGAGGATCTGGTCAGTTTTTCTTCAAGAATGCAAGAAAAATCAGAGAAAAGTTGAAATTTTGAGTATCCTGAAAAGAACCAAACTAGCCATAAAAAATTGGGATGGGAAGAGAGATCAGTTTCCAGGAGAATCGATTACAGAATTAGAAAGGAAGATTCACAAGTTAGAGGAGGAGGTCCAGCAATTGCAAGATGCAAGTGATAGTGAAAAAGCAAAAGAGTTGAATACCCTTTGAACAGAATTATGGACTTTACAAGATTGAGGAGCTGATTTGGTACCAAAATTCCAGATCGAAATGGGTAGAAGACGGGGATCGCAACACCAGATTTTTTCATACTTGTGCTTCAGTTTTTTTTTGGATAGAATATTAGGCCTCGATAAAAACCCTCGACTTACCCTCCATATTACAATAGCAATATGAAGGACAACGGAAGAGGGAAAAGAGTGTCTACTACTTTTATTAATCAGGAGAATAATACACTGCCATCCCTTGCATCATACTTTAATAGCCTTAACCCTAATAACATAAGACTTAAACACCTCTTCCTGCTGAAACCTTAACACTTATTACATAAGAATGAAAACAAAATCCCTGCAGAAATGTAAGGGAGTCTAGCACCCTAACACACCAAAAACAAAACCTAACGATCATCCTATACCATCCTTAGCTAATTTGTCCGCTTTCCAGTTAGCAGCTCTCAAGATTTGCCTTAACGTAATATCCTTCCCTTCCATTATATAGGAGAAAGAGGAATGCTATGAATGCTCTAAATGTCAAAGGAAAGATTATCCAAGACCCTACTGTTATAAAGGCCACTATCAGGGATCACTTTTTCAGAATCTTTAATTTTCGATCTACATTGGAAGTGGAAGATATAAGGCTGAATTTTCCTAGAATTCCTTGGAGGAAGGACTTCTTTCAAAAAAAAGTGTTTTCGGAGAAAGAAATTTGGGAGACATTGAATTCGTGTGACAGTAACAAAGCTCCTGGGCCAGATGGATTAAATTTGGGTTTTTTCAAAAGGTTCTAGCCTGTCCTAAAGGAAGACATTCTGAAATTTTTCCATAGTATCTACGTGGGGAAAGATTGGGAACATGGTATTAATCACACTTTCATCACTCTCATTCCGAAGAGCTCCAACATTGGTGGTTTGGATGACTATAGGCCTATTAGCTTAGTAGGAGGGTTATATAAGATCCTATCTAAGTGTCTTGCGAGGAGGTTAAGAAGCTGCATCAAAGACATCATCAGTTCCACAATTTGCTTTCATCCCTGGTCGTCAAATCTTGGACTTCTTTCTTATAACTAATGAAGGAATTGATTTTTGGAGGAAAAAATGACTCAAGGGGTGTGTTTTTAAGGTGGACTTCAAGAAGGCATATGATACAGTTGATTAGCCTATTCTGTTTAAAGTTATGGAGAAAATGGGCTTTGGTTCCAGATGGAGTGGTTCGATAAGGAAATGTGTAACTACAGCCTTTGTGTCAGTATTGGTCAATGGGGTTCCTTCTGAAGAATTCCCAATGGCAAAGGATCTTTGTCAGGGTTGTTCTCTGTCCCCTCTGTTGTTCAATTTAATAGGGGAGCTTCTTAATTTATTACTTCTAAAGGCAATTTCTGAAGGGTTGTTCTCTGGATTGGTAATAGGTAGGGAGGAGGGGTCTATGAACTTAACTCATTTGCAATTTGCCGATGACCTCATAATCTTTTATGGTGCTTCGAAGATGCAGATTTTGAATGTCAAGAGGGTTCTTAGAATTTTTGAAGTTATTTCTGGACTTCAGTTGAATCTAAAGAAATGCAAATTGTTTGGGATTAATAGGAATCAACAGGAGGTTGAGAACTAGGCGAGAATTAGGCGAGAACTATTGGTTGTTCAGTTCGGTGCTTTCCTTCAGAATACCTTGGACTTCCTCTTGGCGCTAATAGGAATTCATCAGCTCTTTAGGATCCGGTGGTTTAGAATTTTTACAAGAAACTTGCTGGTTGGAAGGCTTCTACTCTTTCATTAGCAGGAAGATTGATATTGGTTAAGTCAGTCATATGCTTGCTACCAACGTATTTTTTGTCTTTGTTTAAGATTCCAGCCTCGGTTAACAAAATTCTAAATTTAATTATGTCTAAGTTCTTATGGGGAGGGGTATTGATAAAAATAAGACGCATTGGGTTAATTGGTCAACTGTGTGTAAACCTAAGAATGAGGGAGGCTTGGGTGTGTTGAATCTTAACAATATGAACAGAGCCCTATTAGGGAAATGGTCTTGGAGGTTTGTTAATGACAGAAACTCTGTTTGGAGAAAGATGATTTGCAGCAAATACTATATTGATTCATCATTATTATTATTTGATAGTAAGGTTCCAGCTCAAGCTTCTTGTATTTGGAGATCGGTGATGAATAACCATTTCAAAGAAGACCCTTTTGGTTCGAAATTTCGAAGCATGTGTAGCTTTCAAGTAGGCAATGGTGAGTTTATTCGATTTTGGCAAGATCATTGGGCTATGGATTATCCGCTTATCCTTATTTTTCCTAGACTGTTTTCCATTTCCTCAAATAAGCTTGGAAAATTAATTGAGTTTGGTGAATATCAATCTACGGGTTAGTTTTGGAATGTTCAACTAAGAAGAAATTTGAATGATTGGGAATTTGAACTATGGCCTAATATGATGTTAATCATTTCAAATTTTAGCCTATCTAAAGAATCCAATGATGGTCTGATATGGAAAGGCAATGGGGATGGTATGTATTCTGTTAGCTCTTCTGTTAAGTTGTGTTCATCGGGTCCGAAGGAGGTTCATTTTTGGAAAAACATAATTTGGAGGGGTCTATTGCCTCCAATAGTGGAATCTTTTGTGTGGCAAGTTGTTCTTCAGAAGCTGGCTGTAAAGACATAACTGTTTAAAAGAGGGGTTCAGGGTATTGATGATGTTTTATGCCCACTTTGCAAGTTGGAGGAGTCTCCATCACATTTATTTTTTACTTGTTCTATTGTGTGGACATTATGGAATAAATTGATGAAGTTTTGGAGGCTCAATGTTGTTTTCCATGCAAATGCTAAGAGTTTTCTCATAGCACAGGAAGTTTTGAATACCAATTCTGCAATATCGTCATTTGTTCCAGGGGTTGTTCTATGGACCATTTGGAAAGTCAGGAATGCCATTGTGTTCGAAGGAGGGAAGTTAGACCAGACTGAATTATTTTTCTTAGCAAGGTTTAGGCTTTCTTCTTGGTTCTTAGCCAAATACAAAGAGATTTATATTCCTAAGGACTCTCTTATATCTGATCTTTCTCTTGGGGATTCTTGTTTAGTACTCAAATCGATTGTATCTAAGATTCCTTGGTCTCCTCCTCCTAAGGGCTTCATTAAATTGAATGTAGATGCTGCTACTAGCTTTGACTGGAAGACGAGTGGTTTAGGTGGCGTTCTAAGAAACGATAATGGCTCGATTTTATGTTCTTTCAAGGAGTCTTCTGGTCCAGGTCCTCCTATCTTGATGGAGCTTAAAGCTATTCAAAAGGGTTTACTTTTCTTTGTCCTTTTTCGAGGGCTTGTTAAGGAACGTTTGATTATTGAGAGTGATAGTAAGGTGGCAGTGCACTGGATCAAGAATGTTGAACTATGTCCAAATGTGTATGCTTTTATTGTAAAAGACATCGTTGATAGGCTCAAAGATTTTGAGGGTGTGGTTAGATGGGTTGGTAAGACAGCTAACTTAGAGGCTGATATGCCTTAGCTAAGGCTGGAATGGGCTGATTTAAGTGTTGATTTTTTTATAGGAATGGAAGGCCTCGTTAAAAACCCCTTCTTGATTAAAGGAGCTTGATAATAAGTTCCTTAATCAGCAGAAGGAGGAAAAGAGTGCCTTGAATTTTATTAATAGTGAAAAGTTACATAAGATACAACCATTACACCAATAACAGTACATAAAACTTAAAAACACCCCCTGCCATAAAAGCCTTCACACTAGACCAGAAAACCACAGTTGAATCCTATCAATCAGCCTATCCCACTCTTTGCTAGATTGTTTGCCTCCCCATTGCACGCTCTTGGAATCAACCTCACTGAATGTACCTTACCAGTGATGAGAGCCGAAATCTAATAAACTATAGACGATAAGAAAACAGGAGCCAAACTCGGGGCCTGAATCCATTCCACTGCAGACTTACAATCACTCTCAACAATCAACCTACCAACAGATTCCCAACGTGATGACAAAAATATTTCAATGCCTCTTTTAATAGCCTTTAACTCAGCAAGTGGAGGAGTTCCTTGACCAACATTCTCTGAAAAAGTCAAAAAGGTGCAGCAATTCCAATCTCTTAAAATACCTCCAATCCCACCACCCAAGCCATCTCGCCTAACAGCTCCATCTACATTCATCTTTAGAAAATCTACTGGGGGGGAATGACATGACATACTTTGGGTTTTGATAGAGAAAACCCATCTGCAAGAGATGGATTACCAATCAGCACATCCTCCTGTATTGATATCTTAGGGAACTTGGCTAGGAACCAATTTAAGTGTTGATGTTAAGGGCTATTTTTGGGTTTAAGGTTTTTATGTAAGGGAGCCTTCTGGGTGTTGTAATTGTTATGTATCTTATCTTGTTATTAATGAAATTCTAAGGTACTCTTTTCCTCCTTCCGCTGATTAAGGAGTTTCTCTACAAGCTCCATTAATCATGAAGGGGTTTTTTAATGAGGCCTGTAACTCTTATCAAAAAAATATATTATCTGCTCGTAAAGCACAGATTTAACCCATTCCAAGTTGATGGAACAGTTATTACATCCATGTGATATGTTTCCACAAGAAACAAAAACATACCATAATTACGAGCTACTTTGAAAGGTGACAACAGATGATTGCAGGATGTATAGCTTATATGGTCACTGGCCTAACAATCTTAGCCTAATAATGCTTACGGCAAGATGATAAAAGATTCACCTGGACCCAACAGATTAGTTAAGATCAATTTAAACAAACCCCACAGGCCACAAATCCTTAAGCTCCGACTCAGCTTACCCCTAAAATAAATAATTAATAAACCTCAGATATTACTGTTTAAGTGAATAAACAACAGTGTTCAAAACTCTCGCAAACATAACTAAGGAACATGTATATAACTAACTTTTGATAATTTTCAACAGTTTTCCTACCCAATAAGCTTAAAGACTTAAATAATTCCTTTTTCCACGCACTTTGGCTTAATAATCTCATAGTTTTGTCCACCAAACTTTTTATAGTTTCATATCACAAACACACTTGGTAACCTTACTTAGTTAAATTGTTTTAAACCCTTCTTTGTACAGTTCTAACTTCTAAAATTCAACCAAACGGTTTCAAAAACAACTTCGAGAAAGCAAGATCTAAATTATGTTGAATCAATAACAGTAAAATGGATTGTTCAGTAGATAGTTTAAAGTAAGAAATAAAATTCAAGATTACCTAGGGTAACCAAATGCAGCCATTCATTCTGACTCAACCTCTTCAACCTTTGGACCTAAAATCCCCAATCATGAACACAAAATAAATAGGGATTAGCCATTCCTTCCCGCAAATAACTAGAAAAAAAAGTTAAACGCTCAATTTTTTGTTACTTTCACCACTTACTTTGCTTTTCACTTCCCCCAAAGTAGTCATTAAGAAACAGGATGTAGCTAATAAAACAAGTTTAGATTCAAACTAAGAAAATAGAAAACGAACAAGTATCACATTTTAAAGCAAAACCATACATTGAGTAATTCGAAAATATCGATCTCCTTTGAAATCGATGAAGCAAAAAAGCAAGTAATAAAAATAACAAAGAGCAGAGCTTAAAATATATAAAATAAAAAGTTCAAAATGAATTCAAAGAGAAGATAGGGACCGTGGAGAGAGGGATGGCGGCCATCCTTTCCCCAACCGATGCCGCGGGTGGCGTCGAGGTACTGGCGGACGAGATGGCGGCACTTCTGGAGATGGTTGACTCCTTCGATGCGGTAACACCACCTGACTTTGTCACGGAGGATCTTGGCTTTCTCAATGTCGATCCATTTCTCTCGAACTATATGCTCCCTCATTTCCAGCATGGCCACCGGATCCTTGTAGGGATTGGCCGAGTCGAAGTCATCCGGCGCCGTTTCATCGAACTCTACTACTCCCTTCTTCCTCCCCATCTCTCTCTCACTCGCCTCTTCTTTGCCCTTCGTTTCGTTTCAGTTTTAGTGGTGATTTTGGGGATTGGGATTGGGCTTCTTTTATTTTCTAGTTTTCCAAGCCCAAATGATTTAAGTTTAGTTGGCGATAGAAATCGAAATACCCACAAAAGTGGACGAAAGAAAGAAATACTCATTCCCAAACGTAAATATTTAAATTTCTGATTTTATTTAAGAGTTTTATTGTCTCATCTCACTAAATCATCTTGTTGTTATTTAAAATTAATTACCATTAATTTTAAGAAAAAAGTGATAATTTTTATTAGGATAAATCATTTACATAGTTATATTTTTAATAATTAAGATATGAATTTATTAGGCCACTTCATATATAAAAAAGGAATGTTATTTTTGTTTTGGAAGAACTAGATTCAATGGTGAATCCATTAAAGAGTGAGGGCCAGCAATTGTCCATCCTAAATCCGAATTTTCTTTAGGTAATTACGTGTTTGATTGATTTTACTTATCTCATATAAAAAATTTATATTGTTAATATATTGTGTTTTAGTTGTCAAAAATATTTATTTATCTGCTATTGCTCGAGTCCAATCAATTGTATCTATAATATATATATGCATTATCGATGATTTAATGATAATTCTAAACAAATAACGTCGTTTAGCCCGCAATATAATGTACACACCTACCACAAATGCCGAATACAATACTTATTCTGAGCGTTGGCATTCTTGAAACAAACCAATACGAAAAACATTTATAAATAAAGAAACTATTGCGACACGTAAAAGCATTACAAAACCAAAAAGAACCCTCACACTTAACCTGTCATAATTTTGGATTAATTTGAATTAAAAGGGAAAGGAGTCGTCATCAACCTTTGGGATAGGTAGGACGAATATCTAAAAACGTCTTTTAAAATAATTTTAGGAAAAATCATTTTATAAAACAAATATTGGTCTGTGTTTACCAAAAATTTGATTTAAAGGGTCGAGGAGTCGGTTATGCTTGGGGAAGGGTAAGCATCCCTACAGCGCCCGAAATTGGTATTGTGTCGCTTACATATCGTCGTAAATGGTGGAATTATGAATCGAATATAAAGTTAAATTATGATTCATTTATTAAAGTTTGATTAATTTACTTCGAATTAATTATTAAAAAGAAAATCCTTTTACTCGATAAGAAATCTTGAAATTTGCAATCCTCCGTCGGGAAAGCAATCTTAACCATTTCTCATTCGTAAAAGAATATTATATCTTCGAATATATAAAAGATGCATATCAAAATAAAAATGAATATTGACATTTGCATAAAAATAAAATAAATAAATAAAAACGCATTGAATCATTCACATAAAAATATTTAATTAATAAAATAAAATAGATTTATTTCAAGTTCCATTTCGTTCGAACGTCGTATCAGATTGTACCACTTCGATCAAGTGATACTTTCCAAGCCCGTTCTACAAATATGTGTTCTTAAAAATATTCGGATAATATTAATATATAAATAACGAATAAACACCAAAAACAAATACAATTTGAAATCTACGAAATAAAACATTCATAATACACATAGCTAATAACGTCTATTTAAAATAATACATATATAGTCATAATATACAAAATACATGTACATGTAGGATTAGAATAAATTAAAATATTACAAATCAAAATACAAATAATAAAATCAATAAATAATCATATTCGATTTAAAGGACCAAAATAGCAAAAATAGAAACTTAAAGGACTAAAATATCAAAAATAGAAATTTAAAGGACCATAATAGCAAAAAAACTCAGAGGGTTGAACCACAAATATAAATAAACCAGATTCCCAAGATCGAAAATATTAAATAGTACATGTACTAGAAATGAAAATAACCCATAAATAATATAAAGGACTGAAATGAAATAAATAGAAACATAAAGCACCAAACAATAATTAATCAAATACCAAACAGTGACTAAAATGAAAGATACATAAATCACATGGTCAAATTCGAATATCAACAAATATAGCGTAATATATAACTAGGGACTGAAATGAAAACATTAAAAAAAAGAGGCTCAAAATATAATAACACAAATTTCATTAATGACTAAAATATAAAGTTAAAAACAAGGAGAGACCCAAACTGTAGTTACCCCACGCGTTGAAAACACGCAGAAGAGCCCCACTGAAACGGCGTCGTTTTCACGTGGCGTATATAAGCCCAAACGGGCTTATTTCTCACCCATTTCTTCATTTCCCCGTTATGCATGAGTGAGAGAAAGTGTGTGTGTGAGAGAGAGAAAACTCTCTCAAGAGCTTCAACCGGAAGCTGTAATTCCCAGTTTTCGGTGAGCCTCTGCCATGCCGGCCTCCGTTGATCGATGACGATCATCGTATATCGGCATCGAAGAAGGGAGAGTAAGACGTCATTTGAAGCATCTTCTCGCCATATATGTGGGTCCGAGCTTGGTTTGGTCTAAAAATGGCTCAAACGCTATAGATCTATGAAGAAACACTTCGTTTCTTCAGCTCCGGCGACCCTTGGCTTTCATCGAAGTTCGATCGAGGTATGGACCTTCTCACTCTCTACTTTCTTTTGTTTTTCCTTTGTTTTCTCTTTTCTCCCTCCCTGAACCTCTTGATATATTTTTTCCTCTGAAAATGGTTCCCCTTTTTATAAATTTCTTTTTCTCTGACATTTTTTAAATATTCCCGTATGTGATGTTTTTTTCTTTAATTTGATGGTATGATGGACTTTTATCCTTGCTTTGATGCAGCTACAGAGCTAAATCTCATTGGGAAACTTGTTTTTGGATTTGTTCTTATTTTTTAATGGGCTTTTCTGACTTTGGTGTGACTTTCTATCACTATTGATGAGGGCGGCGGCTCTGAGGTGGTCGGCGTTGGCATCAACAAACAGACGGTAGTGGTAGAAGCTAGGTTTAGGGTTTCAGACCCTAAATAGGCAGGTCCAAATCATATCTGAGTCGGATCTTGGGGCTGCTAAGTGGCTTCGGGTCGGGCTGGTATTACTGTAGTTGGACTTGGATCCTGGGCCTGAACCGGGTCTTGTAATGTTGGGCTTGTGCTTGCTTGTAATTGGGCACCATTTTGGCCTACACAAAATGTAAATATAATAATAATAATAATAATAATAATAAATAATAATAATAATAATAATTATAATATTTTTTAGACCAGGATAAAAACAGGTGTCTACAGCTGCCCCTCTGTGCACATTTTTGTGTTAACAAGAATAGGTCAAAGATGAAAGAGGCTACGAGTTTTTGTCCGGTTCTCTTTTTGGTTTTGAAATTGGATATATTTGTTGTTGGGGACGACACTGCTCATACGCGATGAAGAGTTTTAGTTATCTAATGGTGACACGGCTCCTACGTGATGAGGAGGTCTAGTCGGGGGATGACATGGTTCCTACTCGAAGAGGATGACTTGCCATATTTAGGGATAATGTTTCAAGGGAAACAGACTCAAAGATGATGTTTCAAGGGAAACTGTCACAAGATAGACAAAATTTTTTTTAAGAGAGACGATCTTAAAGATTTTCAAGAGAAACAATTTCAAAGTTTGTCTTAAGGAAGACTGTCTCAAGCGAGACAAAGTTTGTTTTGAGAAAAACAATCTCAAGTGAGATCAACTTTGTTTGAAGTGAAACAAACTCAAAATTTGTTTCTCAAAGGAAAAATGTCTCAAGCGAGACGAATTTTGTTTTGAGAGAAATTGTCTCAAACGAGACCAAATTTATTTTTAGCGAAAACTGTCTCAAGCGAGACAAAATTTGTTTTTTAAGAAAACTTGTCTCAAGCGAGACGACCCTTTGTTTCAAGAGAAACAATTTCAAAGACAACAAATAATCTATTTGTTCCTGCATGTGGAGGAAAAACCTTTAGAAGATCAGATCGTTCACTTCAGGATGTTGAATCTCCCAAGAAGCCCCATCATTCATCATTTCTTGCTTCAGCGCTGATTTTAAGCATGAGTTTTGTGTCTGAGAGCCACGTGTCAACTACCGAGATCCACTCCAGAGAGATTGTCTTATTTGAAAAACGTTTTTCTTCTTCTTTTACTTTCAAAATTTTGAAAAATATCATTTAAAAGAATTTTGAAAAATGTTTAATCACAGATTTTGAAAATATTGCTCCTTTCTAGGTTTTACAATTGAGGTAAATCATAAAACAAGAGTTCATTGGATATCAAAGAATTATTTACACTTTAATCCTTCAGAAAATTATAGTTATTTGACAAGTGTCAAGATCAATGCTACCTTTGAGGTATATTTAAGTAAGGAGAGGATAAAATGTCTCAGGTGGTTGCCTTTGGTCAAAGGGTAGACATTCTCATTTCTTTGATGTTCACTGATCTGATAGACTAGCTTCTATGCTCATCTACTGGGGTGTTTCCGATTCTCAGCTCTCATGTGCATATTCAGGTTGTGCGACGTCTTGTCAAGGTTCACTCCTGGCATTGATTATAATATTTTTTAGACCCGAAAAAATGGGTGTCTACATAACCTTTGATGCCACACCCCAAAACCAGTAAGATGCATTATAACCCTCATGTGTACATTAAGTCTTGGCTCCAAGAATGAATAGCACAACCTAAAGGACCAATTTAATGGGCTGGCTGACGAGTCCCATAAGAGAAATGTAGATAATCAATGTATATATTTTCATCACCCAAATTTGATAATTGAGATGACAATGACATGTACGTCAATATATTTCAAAGAGATTATGAAGAAGTATTAAACTTATTAAGACCACCAGATTTGATCACTTGGAGAATGCTCCCTCATTTCTAGTATGGCCACCAGATCCTGGATTTCTCAATGTTGATCCATTTCTCTCGAACTATATACTCCCTCATTTCCAGCATGGCCACCTGATCCTTGTAGGGATTGGTCGGGTCGAAGTCATCCGACGTTGTTTCATCGAACTCTACTACTCCTTTCTTCCTCTCAATCTATGTTTCTCACTCGCCTTTTCTTTGTCCTTCACTTTGTTTCAGTTTTAGTTGTGATTTTGGGGATTAGGATTGGGCTTCTTTTATTTCTAG